TCTCCTCTCCTCTTTTTCACCAACCAGTTCCATTCAAACTGGACTGTGATCTGTCAATGTCCTGGGAAAAATTTTAACATTCTTTACCTAAAGTATAAATCAGTTGTAATCAAGAAAAAATCAATTCTTGAAAAAGATTTATGTCTATCTGAAAAAAAGGTGAAGTCTCTCTCCTCCTGGTTATGTTCACACCAATAATCTCGTAGCTCCCAGTCTTCCTTCAAATCAAAAAAAGCTTTAGGTAGTTTAGCCTGTTTAAAGGAAATAGAAGATCCTTTTTTGTCCCTTTGTGTATCTAAAACACCATTCCAATCTCCCATTAATATAACAGATCTATAATCCAACAAAGTTAATTTTTGATGTAGCAATCTATAGAATTGTCCCTGTTGTTTGTTGGTGCATAAAGTCCCGCTATAAGTACTTTCTTTCCATACAAACCAACTTCAATCATAACAAATCTCCCTTGAGAATCAGATTCCACAAAACTGGCTACTAAATTTTGCTTAACATAGATAACTACTCCCCCTTTTTTCCCAGGAGCTGAAGATACAAAATGCGATCCCAAACAAGGATTGAAAATTTTTGATCTTTAGGTATAATATGTGTTTCCTGCAACCAAATAATATCATTATTATGTTGCTTTAAATAATGGAAAATTTTCTTTCTCTTTTGGGGAGAATTGAGGCCATTAGCATTCCAAGTCAGGAGCTTTACCATCTCCCTTGACCAGAAGCCTGGAGAAGACTGCTTGGAGGTCTGCCATTGAAGAATGTACTGCAGAACTCTTGGGTCTTGCTCCTCCCACCGGTAACGAAACAATTTCTTGAAGAGATTCTTTATCTTCTTTCTTCTGTTGTTCCTTTTCCTTGCGTCTATGTGCTGCACGAGTCATTCTTTGATCTTTGATCTGTTTGTTGCAACCACTGTGGCTGTAGCTTTCCAGCAACCATCACTCCTGCTCCTTCAGACTGCTGTTCCACCTCTTTGCCATCCAAAACTTTCTGCATCATGGATGATGGTGAGCCTGCTCCCAGGACCGAGCTATAAAATTCTTTTGCTTTAGAAACTTTATTTAGTCTGTAACGGGTCCCCGCATGGCTCACAACAATACCCATCGGAATTTCCCATCTAAATGGAATCAATCTTTTTTTAAGCTCATTAGCTAAAAAAGCAAACTCTTTTCTCTTTCTTAAAATTTTAGATGGGATCTCCTTTAAAATAATGACATCTTGGGCAGCAATCTGGAACCTCTTATTATAGAAGGCTTGTATGATTTCATTACACAGAGATCTCTTTGCAAAGTAAATCACCATATCTCTTGGTAAATTTTTTTGTTTAGCAATCCAGGAGTTAACTCTATAAATTTTTTCAACTTCTCTGAATATTTCCTCTTTCTCTCTATTCAAAATAACAGCAAAGTCATTTACAAGAATCTCAATCAGATCTTGCTTGTCCTCTTTCAGGTCCCTGATTCTTAATGCATGTTCCATCTCTCTATACTGGGACATAAGAATATCCTCTTGTGACATTTCCATCTTTCTCTCCATGCCTTCAAACTTTTCTTCCAACATATCCGCCTTCTCTGCCACTTCTTCAACTCTAGAGTCTAATTTCTCAACCACAGAAGCAAGTCCTGTTAAGGCCATAACTATATCCTGCCTCAAAATAGTATTATTCTGTTCTAAAAGATTCTTCATTTCTCCTCTGATTTGAGTTTTATTCTGATCTAAAAGCCCCTTCACTTCCTCTCTGATTTGAGATACAGCACTTCCCATTATATCTTTCATATCTTGTACCGTTACTGCTGGCAGAGGAGGAGAAGGTGGTGATGTAGCTTTAGGTTGTTGTACCAGTAGGATCGCTGGAGAAGAGGCCACCTTAGAAACTGTAGCAGCTGCTTGCCTCTTTGAAGCCATTTTCAAATAGGTCTTATTTCTTCTTTCTTCCTTCTTAAAAATAAAAGTAAAGTAATCCTCAAAAAAAAACAAAGGAGAGTTTAAAAGGAAAAAAAAAACACCAAACACAAATCCAGCTTCAAAAAAAAAGTTTTTTTTAAAAGAAAACTGTTTAATCCATAACGTTTCAGTCACTTTCTTCCGGAAAGAAAAAAAAAAAAAACACTTCAAATCGCCATTTTACTTTCACTCTCCAGACAAAGAAAAAAGACAAAAAAAGTAAAAAGATCACATTTCAAACTAAAGTCCAATTAAAGTCCAATAAATCCAATCCTTTATCCAGCTCTGTCCGCTTTTAAAATAACTCACCAGGCTCCTTTAAACGCGGAGGTGGCCGCAGCGTTTTGCTTTGATCCCGAAGGATCAAAGACAGCTGGGAGGCGGAGACACCCGAACTCCGAGGGAACTCTCTTTTCACCCCCCCTAAAAAAATTCTGGGGGGGTTAAGAGGTTCTACCTCTATTCAGGTGATACTCCTCTCCCCCCCTTCACCCAGGAGGGAGATTTTAAACCGCTGAACAGCTGATGTCTGCTGTTCTCCGCGGTTTTCATGCTTCTCCCAGGAGGACGGCTACAAAGTAGCCACCATCACCGGCGCGAACCACCCTAAATTTAATCATTTTATGACCATGCTCCACCGTGGTTTGTGGACCTCCTGGCTGAAGAGAAAGCCAAAGACTGCATTAAGACCGTGAGGCAGCACCATAGAGCTGTGGTGGAATACACTGAGGAATTCCATGATCTGGCATGCCGCTATGATTGGCCAGAAGACATCCTCACCAGCTGTTTCAAAGGTAGGTTGAATGATGACCTTTACAATGCCTGCGTGGCTGTGACCCTACACAGCTGGGGGGTGCTTGCTGAAGAAGTTGAGATCGATCAGGCTCAAAATAAGTACCAAGCAGCAAAATCCTGGAAGAAGACTCCTTCGGGAAAAAAGAAAACGCGAAACTCCAACTTTCACCAGCCAGGTGAAGGTTGAAGTGTGGCCAAGGGCATTCCTTTCAGCATGAAGCATTGCAAAGCTATTTTTGCATCACGTTTATCAGCTACATAGAGCACCTCAATGTATCATCTCCAATAGAAGAGTACAGTTCACCTCCAAATTTTGGAGAGCCTTTTTGGACTTGTTGGGGGCAGACCAGAGGCTCAGTTCTAGTTACCACTCTCAAATGAATAGGGATTGTGAACTAATGAACTCAGTATTTGAACAATACTTTAGATGTTTTATCAATTATCAACAAGACAATTGGACAGAACTTTTGCCATTTGCAGAGGTGACATATAATAACTCTATACACAGTAGCACTGGTTTTACCCCTTTCTGAGTGGGTACTGGTCAAGACTTCAAGCCTATGCCTGAGCTTTCTACTGGTGACCCAGGAGTGCCATCCTTGAAAGAATGGGTCTCTCGGTTGCAGAACACATGGCCCATTGTGAGTAAAGTGCTGGCGGAAGCCTGCGATGCTTATAAAGCACAAGCTAATAAAAAATGAATTGAGCCAAAACCTTTTAAAAGTCGGAGAGAGTGTTTACTTGTTCACTTGTTATTTCCAATCACTTCAACCCTCTAAGAAACTAGGACCTAAATATGTGGGCCCTTTCCCCATAAAGCGCCTTATTAACCATGTGACTATAGAGTTAGAATTGCTAAAATCACTTTGACAAGTTCATCCCGTTTTTCATTGTTGTTTGTTGAAGCCTGAAGTTTCTTCGCCCCTTAGACCAGCTCTTCCTACTGTCCAACAACCTGTTATGATGGAGGGGCAACATTTTGAGGTGAAGGAAATATTGGATTCACGAAGACAAAGGGGGAATCTTCAGTATTTAGTAGCATGGCAGGATTTCCCTGCTGGCCAAAACAAGTGGGTGGATTACAAGCATGTTAGGGTCCCTAGATCAGTGAAATGTTTTCATAATCAATATCTTGATAAACCAGAGTGATTGTTTTAATCTTTTCTTTTTCTTCTCTCCCTTTTTTATAGGTTGATCCCTTTTTGGGGGGAGACAGCATGTCAGGTCCCCTTTTACAGGTGTCCTGCCATTCTGGTGGAGGAGGCCCACTTTGGGGAGGCATTCTTTGCATACTTTCGCTTTTGCTGTAACACTGTAGTTGCTTGGAAAATAGGGAGGAGGATCGCCTTCAGAGACGGGATGGACTCCTTCCCAACTGGTTTCAGCCTGCTATCAAGGTTGCTATGCCCCGAAGATGAACCGCTATTTATCCTGGGCTTTGATGTCCTTGTGGCACTCTATTGACTGCCGGTGGACTGGCCAGGGGGGCTGGGTTTCATTGTGGGAAGAGTAGCTTGTTGCTTTGTGCAGGAATATTAGATTCCACTTGGTTCTACTGAAACCACTACCTCTCAGTAAAAATTCTTTTGATTAACTACATGGAGTCAAGAGTCATGCTTTCCTGAGGGGGATTGCTGGGGGAGGTCCTACTTGGATTACAGATTCTACTCCTAGGGCTATTCTGTTTAACACAAGTCTTTCTAAAAGTTTATAGGTAACACAGAGAAGAGCAATTGGATGTAATTTTGGGGAAAGTTTGGATTCTTTCCTGGTTTCAAAACTGCAATAATTTTGGTCTTCTTGAATATAGTAGGAAGTCATCCTGAGTATAGTATGGAACTAAAAAAGGAAGCAAGCCTACATTTAGTAGCTGGTCCACTGTTCTTTAGTACTTCTTGGAACATATCATCAAATCCTGCAGCCCCCTCTACACTTTTTTGGCTGTAAATGGGTATGAATATAAAGCACGTGGTAGAAGATCATGCTTCAATAGTCTAAGTTCAAAGCTAATTTATCTGGCAAATTTCTTATATCTTGTTGTCCTTGAAGTAGAAACGAGATGGTTAGCTATGCATTCCATGTGATAGTAGAATGTTTTCTTGAAGATATGGACGATGACTCCAGTTTTCAGATAAGGGATCAGACTTAAAATAATTCCTCCCAATTAGAAATCTAACTTTATCTTCCAAGGACCATTCAAAATGTGGGAAAAGTTATAGAAGCTATAACAAGGGTTTAAAAAAATCTTACCTGTTTTAGCTCCAGCGGAGCCAGAATCGTCCCCACCTAAAAGAATAGTTTGGTTAAAGAAGGTTTTTTTACATATCATAAAGTCATACTATGCAAGATAGAAAATGGGCTACCTTTTGGTAAAAAGTAAAATAGAAGCCAGGGGTTTTTATGAAATAATCTTGATGCATGTTTGAAATCAGGAGTTCTTCCAAACTTTTCAGTTCAAATGGGATGTTTCATATTTGAAACAGTTTAAATCAGTATGTTCTACGTCCCACTGCTTAAAACCAAGCCTTAAGCCTTAGTGTATATTGCTTGAAAAGAGTATGGTATTTTTTTCTGAAGTGTTCCTCATTATTGCAATTACTCAGATATGTTCCAATATGTTTATAAGCTACTTTTAAAGTTAAAACTTTTAAATTTCTTACATGAATTCTCCATCACAAAATTGTAGAAAATGACTGCTTAAGTCAATGAACTTAATTCCCCTTCTAAGGGCAGGAATTTAGATTAAAATGTGCTTGACAGCTTAGCTTGAATTTTAGTTTTAGAGGCAAATGGCATGCCACTAAATAGCAAAAATACTATATACACTAAAATAGCAGAAATAATATTTCCACTTGTGCAACCGAATTACCTCTGATGGATCACCCACAGTCAAATCAAATTAATATGGCAAAATAAGGCACTAAATTAACTACATATGTTTGCTCTGAAGGAAGACCATTGCTTCAAATATATAGGAAAAAGCACTCTCACTGTCTAGTTTCAGTTTGAAGTTATATTCTTATTTCATCTGTGTTTTGCACCAACTACTTTTATTTATGATACAAATATTCTAGTAAAGTTGATATAATCAAAAATGATTTAATAGGTCATAATAGCCATACATCCCATCAATTCTTTTTTTTAAATTTCCTTTATGCCTGAAATAGCATGTTTGTGAGCTACAATTAAATAGTCTATGTGTCTTATTGTGGCTGCTTGACAACCATGTCTTATTAAACATACAATATATTATTATTTTTAATTAACATTATTAAATAGGTTATAAAAATGAATAATAAGTTAAGCTTATATGAATTAAAATATTCTTGTTCTGTAGCTGCCTATAAAATATTAAGGACTGCCCTTACAGTATTAAAAAACATGATGGCTTTATGTAAACAAGTTTAAATTGACCTTCTTCATTTTAAATGAAGGAGCAAGATTTTACTGAATTGTTAACACATGTAAATATCATCCAAAACAAATGAATACAGTAAGAAAATGAAGGCAGTAAGAAGTATCTGATGCACCAGTTTTGAAGAAGAGTTTAGTATAAGAAAAAAAACATATGCTGATAACAGCCTATATACCTGAGAAAGGGTTAGAAGCACAGCCTAGATTTTAAAAATGTGTATAATAATATGAGAAGCAACAGTCTCATTATGACCAAAACACTCAAATTACGCTCAGAGATATAGCTGAAAATTAAATAATAAGTTTTTATTAGTTGTACATGCAAACCTACACATGAAATGAGGAGCTGGTCCTACAAAGTAGCAATACAAGTAGACCTAGTTTAGTGGTCTACCTGTTTTGCTTGTACAGAGACTATTTATAGTTACAACAATAAGGAAAAAGTAACTTTGTGACCAGTCCTTGCATTTGAAGTTTGTAAAGCAAAGGAAAGCTGAAGTAAGCATATAAACATTGTGGTGGTTTCATTTAGCAACTATTTCACTTACAACCAAGTTACTGGTCCCAATTGTGGTTGCTAAATGAGTATGACCTGTAAAACACTGCTCTGCTTATATGTTTTATAAAAGCAACTCCAATCTTTTTTAGAAAAAATCATGCTATTAAAAATATGAGAAGCATCGAAGTTATAAAGAAACATTATAGTAAGCAATTCAACATATTATCAGACCCAAGCAACGTATCACACGCATGTTAGTATAGGGACTGCAGTGAGTGCTCCTTTGCAGCAACAGTTCTGTCAGCCTATATTTTTGTATTCATTTATCTGTGAGCAAATCCTATGGAGCGCAATGGGACTTTTAAACAATATTGTGTAAGACTGCACTGTAATGGCTGCATTTGACCATATTTCTAGAAAAAAATATATTTTTAGAAAAAAATATGAATATAAAGACCGATTGTCTGATTTAAGGTCACTTTTTCAGCATTCTTAGTAAATATTATTCAACATGAAATGTTTATTTATTTTTATTTTATTTATATACTACTTTAGATTTTGGAAAAGATGAGTATTAAAAAAAATATTTTACCTAAGGCGGAATCAAACTAAAATTTTTACACTGGAGCACACACACAAGAGGTAATAACAACAACAACAACAACAACAATAACAATAACAATAATAATAATAATAATAATAATAATAATAAAGTTGGAAGGGACCTTGGAGATCATCTAGCCCAACTCCCTGCTCAGGCAGGAAACCCTGTACCATTTCGGACAAATGGCTGTTCAGTCTCTTCTTAAAAACTTCCAGCATTCACCACTTCTGGAGGCAGGTTGTTCCACTGGTTAATTGTTCTAACTGTCAGGAAGTTTCTCCTTAGTTCTAGGTTGCTTCTCTCCTTGATTAGTTTCCATCCATTGCTTCTTGTCCTGCCTTCAGGAGCTTTGGAAAATAGCTTGACTCCCTCTTCTTTGTGGCAGTTCCTAAGATATTGGAAGACTGCTATCATGTCCCCCCTCGTCCTTCTCTTCATTAAACTAGACATACCCAATTCCAGCAACTGTTCCTTATATGTTTTAGCCTCCAGTCCCCTAATCATCTTTGTTGCTCTTCTCGGTACTCTTTCTACAATCTCAACATCTTTTTTACATTGTGGTGACCAAAACTGGATGCAGTATTCCAAGGCATTGTAATGTGGTATTAACACTTCACATGATCTTGATTCTATTTCTCTGTTAATGCAGCCTAGCACTGTGTTGGCTTTTTTGGCAGCTGCAGCACATTGCTGGTTCATATTTAAGTGATTGTCCACTAGGACTCCAAGATCCCTCTCACAGTTACTACTATTGAGCAAGGTACCCCCTATACTATACCTGTGCATTTGGTTTTTCTTGCCTAAATGTAGAACCTTAATTTTTTCAGCATTGAATTTCATTTTGTTAGATAGTGCCCAATGTTCAAGTCTGTCCAGATCCTCCTGTATCTTAAGCCTGTCTTCTGGAGTGTTGGCTATTCCTGCCAGCTTGGTGTCGTCTGCAAATTTGATGAGTTCCCCATCTATCCCCTCGTCCAAATCGTTGATGAAGATGTTGAAGAGCACTGGGCCCAGAACAGAGCCCTGGGGCACCACACTACATACTTCCCTCCAGGTAGATGTGGTTCCATTGAGGACCACACGCTGAGTATGGCCGGTCAGCCAGCTATGAATCTATCTGGTGGTGATGCTGCCTAACCCACATTTTTCTATCTTATCAAGTAGTAGATTGTGATCTACTTTATCAAATGCCTTACGGAAGTCCAAGTAAATTATATCCACAGCAGTCCTTTGATCCACTAATTTTGTCACTTGGTCAAAGAATGCAATAAGATTTGTCTGGCATGATCTCTTTTTGACAAACCCATGTTGGCTTTTAGTAATGACTTTGTTTGCTTCTAGGTGTTCGCTGATTTGTTGTTTGATTATCTTTTCCAGAATCTTCCCAGGTATTGAGGTCAGGCTGACAGGTCTGTAATTTCCTGGATCCATTTTTTTTCCCTTTTTTGATGATGGGAACTACATCAGCTCTTTTCCAGTCCTCTGGTAGTTCCCCAGTGCTCCAGGATCATTGAAAAATATAGTTCAGTGGTTCTAAAATCACATCTGCCAATTCCTTGAGAACCTTGGGGTGTAATCCATCTGGTCCTGGTGATTTGAACTCGTCTAGGCAGGACAGGTGCTCACTTACCATTTTCTAGCCTATCTTGTGTTTCTGTTCTGTTTTTTATGGCACTATTTTTGATAGGCTGGTCTATTTTTTCCCTTTGTGTAAAGACAGATGCGAAAAACGAGTTAAATAGTTCTGCTTCCTCCGTGTTGCTTGTCATCTTCTTGCCATTTTTACCCACTAATGGACCAATAATTTCCTTCACTTTTTTCTTGGTTTTTGCATGTTGAAAGAAGCTTTTTTTGTTATTTTTGACTTTGGTCACAAGCCTTAGTTCATTTTGAGCCTTAGCTTTCCTCACTTCATCTTTGCAGGCTCGGGCTATTTGCTGTATTCTGACTTAGTTATGTGCCCCCCTTTCCACTTTCTATACTTGTCCTTTTTATCTTTCTGTCAGAATCCAATTATATTTCATCTCTAGTTATCAACTATAGAAAACACCATTTCTGCCTTCTCTGGATTCTGTCATACGATGAAGGGAAGGGGGTGAACAAAGGGGCTTTATGGCCCTCACTTCCTTCCTTGAGACTGTCGCTGGAAGAAGGGGGTGATTGGGTGGGGCTACTGGGGAACCCCTTAAAACCTTGAATGGGAGAGCTCGGACCCCAAGTCCTGTCTAGAACACCTGCAACCATTTTCTCTTAATAAAGGATGCCTGTTGGAAGAACTATTCCAAGAGTTCTGTCTTAAGATGCAAAGTGGGGTGGGTCCTTACATTTTCAATTTATCAGAGAGTTCTTTATGCAGCCATGCTGGTTTCTTTTGAGAGCTGTTACTTTTCCTCTTTGTTGGTATTGTGCTGGACTGGGCTTTTATTATCTCACTTTTCAACATTTCCCAAGTTTTTTGAGTTGTTTTCCCCTTGAGGATTCTCATCCATGGAATCATTCCCAAGCCCTCTCTTTATTGAAATTAGCTCTCTTAAAGTCCAAGACTCTAGTTTGACTGTGTTCTATTGCTTGTACTTCCATAATGTTGAATTCCAATATTGCATGATCACTTCCTCCCAAGGTTCCTGTGGCTTTAATTTTGTTCCAATAAACAAATAAACATAATATAATGAATGGACTGAATGCGAATCAAATCTTAATAACTGAAATCCTGGGTAATATATTTTTATGAACACACATTACAATATTTTCATATTTTCCCATTTTAAATAGAGTGAATACTTAAAACATACCTGATTGTGGATTCTCAGGTGGCAAGTTACCATCTAATAAATCTGAATCTTCAAATCCTTTAATAAAAACAAAAGGAGTAAAAGCAATTTTTATATATATCATATGGACCGGTCTGATTGATTGCACCTTGGCATTTTTGACTGCTATACTGCAGTTCTATTTTTATAATCACTTTTGCCTTGCTGCCCCCCATACTAGGGGCATTAAGCAGGCTCAAGTTGCTACTGCGATACATTACAAATTCAGATTTCTTTTTGTCAGCAAAAATACATACACACACACACACACACACACAGAAACATCAATTTACATAACGCAGTTTTACATACCGTATATGCCGGCATATAAGGCGACTTCCGCAAGCGCTAAAATCGGCGCCAAAGACGGGGGTCATCTTATACGCCGGAAATACTGGTAGTTTCCGGCGTATAAGACGACGTTCTAGGAATGCGGCTCGGCGACAAAGATGGGGGTTGTCTTATACACCGGGTCGCCTTGTATGCTGGCATATACGGTAATTTCCATTAAGAATCTTAACTATATCTCAAACTCATATATTATGTTGCTTAGATAGATTTTAAATTTTAAATCTACCTAAATACTAAAAATGTTTCTGAATTAATAATGTATTCATAATTATGAATATATAGGGGTCAAGAAAACAAAATATTATTTTGCATGTGAATTGTGCAAATCCTTTGAAATGCTACACTAACACTCAGAATTTAGGGAACAAAGTGAACTTGAAGCATTAGTACATGAAGGCAGATATGATATAGTTGCCATTACTGAAACTTGGTCGGATGAAACTCATGATTGGAATGTACTGATGGAAGGATACAAACTATTAAAAAGAAACAGACCTAAGAAAAGAGGAGGTGGTATTGGCTTCTGGTTCTGTGCAGCTAGCACCACAGCTGAGTGATTGTGAAGATCTGAGCCCTACGGCTGATTTCTCTCTGTTTGGGGACCCTAAATGGGCCCAAAGCCACCACAGAGAGGTGGCAAGTAAGGAGGCAAGCCCCTCCGATCCTGGAGAGACGGTGGTCAATCTGGACATCCGGGGAAAGCTCTCCAAAAACCTACAGAAGGCTAGCATCATTCATTAGTCTAGCCCAAGCTACATGCAGCTGAAGCCAAAAAGCACTAAACTAAGCATGATTTTAAACAGCATGAGCAAACTGGGTAAGAATATTGATTCTCTCTTTTCTACCTGACTGATTTCCTGGAAAAAAAAAGAAAAAAAACCCAGAAGTAAAAAATCCTCTGAAAGTGAGGGGGGGTCTTTGTTCCACCCTCCTCTAAACGGAAGCGGCGAATTAAGTTTACAGGGGAAAAATACAGAAAATTGAAAAATGGACTGGTGTTGACATCTAATTGTGGATGAAAATACTGCCCTAAATATACAGCTCAGAAAGGAAAGCCTGTTGTGACCTTCAGGGCTTTGATTAAATAAAGAGCAGCTGTAACAAAAGGAAAGAAAACATTGTGGACTATCTACAAAGTGAGAACTATAAAACCTAGAAAAAATTGACTTTCCTGGATTATAAATATTTTTTAATTTCTGACTTTAAAGTGATTAGCAGAGAAAGGATTTTTGGTCATTATGGAGCATCAGAGATCTGCAGAAAGAACATATCAAGAAAAAATAAATACTTACCAGGAGGAACTATATGTTCTGTTACAACAAATGCAAATGATATTACTTTCAAACCATGAGAAAATTAAAAATGAATTTGAAAATTTAAATGAATGCATTCTCAATTTAACGTCACAACAATTAAATGATCAGAAAACAAAAAGAGAGAGAGAGATCATGTAAAGCAGACAACTGAATATAAACTAGTGGAGATTCAAATGGAGAAGGACTTACAAGAAACATTGAACATGGAAAAGATACTGTAGCTTATACTCTAAGACCACAAAGTAAATTTGAGGATAAGGAAAAAGATTTGACAAAATGGATTGCTGAGCTGTTGGGAGTACTACAAGAAATGGGGAGACATTTATATATATATTTAATTATAAGAGGTTTTTTGTCTTCTCTTTTTTCTGCTTTTTTTTCTGGTCTTTTGGATTTTTTTTTTTGGAGAAAAGTTTTTTCTAAAATGGCTTCAAAGTGTCAAGCAACTTCTGCAGTGCCTAAGGTGGCTTCCTCTCCGGCAATACTTACAGTGCAACAACCTAAAGCTAAATCACCACCACCTTCCCTGCCGATACCAACACTTACGGTAAAAGACATTCAAGATGTTATGGGTAATGTTGTTTGTCAAATTAGACAAGAAATGAAGGAACTTTTGGAAGAGAGAAATAGAGTTATGAGGGAGGACATAGTAATGGCTCTGAAAGGACTCACCTCTGTTGTTGAAAAGCTGGACAACCGTATTGATGATGTTGTTGATAAAGTGGATTTATTAGAAGATCGTGTTGAAAATGTCGAAAAAACAGTGGAGATTTCACAGGATGAAATTCTTATGTCTCAGTATAGAGAGATGGAACTTGCTTTGAGAATCAGAGGCTTGAGGGAAAACATGCAAGAGAACTTGAGGGAGGTGGTGGCAAATGATATTGCTGTGATACTTGAGAGGGAACCAGAGGACATATTGAGGGAAATAGAGAAAATATTTAGAGTCAATTTTTGGATTGCAAAGCAGAGAAATTTACCAAGAGATGTGGTGGTTTATTTTGGAAAAAGATCTCTACGTAATGAAGTGATACAAGCATTTTATAATCAGAGATTTCAGATTGCTGCTCAGGATGTGATAATTTTAAAGGAGATTCCATCTAAAATTTTAAGAAGAAGGAAAGATTTTGCCTTTTTATCAGAGGAGCTTAAAAAGCGGCAGATTCCATTCAGATGGGATATTCCAATTGGAATTGTGGTGAGCCAAGCGGGGACATGTTATAGACTTAATACAGTTGCAAGGGCTAAAGAGTTTTATATGTCAGTCCTGGGAGCACGCTCACCACCATCCTTACGTTTCAAAGTTCATGAAGTGAAAGAGGGAGAACAACTGGTTGAAAATGCTGCTTTAATGAAAGCTGGAAAATCACAAGCTGTCCAGCAGTCTGTTGAGGTGAAAGAGCAGAGAATGACCCGAGCAGCTCACAGACGAAGAGAAAAAGAGCAACATGAAATGGATACAAAAGAGTCTACTCAAGAATCGGTTTCTGAGCCTGTGGGAGGAGCAAGACCTAAGAGATCTTCGATTCGATCCTCGATGTTAGATCTTCAAGCAGTCTTCTCCAGGCTTGCAGCTGGAGGAGATGGCAAAGCTCCTGACCTGGAATGTTAATGGCTTAAATTCTCCTCAGAAACGGAAGAAAATATTCCACTATTTGAAGCAACATAATAATGACATCGTTTGTTTACAGGAAACTCATATTACTTTGAAGGATCAAAAATATTTGATAAATGCCCGATTGGGCTCTCATTTTGCATCTTCTGCTCCAGAGAAAAAGGGGGTGTTGTTATGTATGTTAAGAACAACGTGTCAGCTAAATTAATAGATTCAGATTCTCAAGGAAGATATGTTATGATTGAAGTAATGTTATATGGAAAGAAATTGCTTGTAGTGGATTTGTATGCCCCTAATCATCAACAAGAACAGTTTTATAAGTTTTTATATCAAAAATTGATTTTGTTGGATTATAAATCTGTGATTTTGATGGGAGATTGGAATGGTGTTTTGGATACATATAAAGATAAGAAAGGATCTTCCACTTTCTTCAAGCAAGCTAAATTACCAAAGGCCTTTTTTGAACTGAAAGAAGATTTGGAATTGACAGATATTTGGCGGGAGCGCAACATAGATGATAGGGACTTTACTTTCTTTTCTGATAGGCACCAATCGTTTTCAAGAATTGACTTTTTCTTGATTACCACGGACTTATACTTGACTGTTAAAAATGTAAAAATTTTTCCAAGGACACTTACTGACCACAGCCCTGTATGGTTGGAACTAACTCCTGAAAAGGAGGAAAGGAGATCATGGAGGTTGAATGAAAATCTATTTAGATATGAAGTGAATGTACTGAAACTTAGAGAATATCTAAAGGAATTTTTTACTTTAAACATGTCTAAGGGAACTTCAATGGCAATGGTTTGGGATGCAAGTAAGGCCTATATGCGGGGGTTTTTGATTCAAATGAATAATTCTTATAGGCGAAAACAAATGCAAAAACGTAAAGAATTGGAGGAGGAGATTAAAATAAAAGAAAAAATATTAATTATGAATCCTTTGGATAAGAATGTTAAGGCTTCTATAAATTTGCTTAAATCACAATTTAATATGTTAATGGCTGACCAGGTTGCAACCAACTTAAGTTTTATGAAACATAATACATTTTGTAATGCAAATAAACCAGGTAGGTGGTTAGCTTATCAGTTAAGGAAAAAACAGAGGTCGAGAATTATAGATAAAATAAATTATAATGGTAAAGTGGTTTTTCAGAAAGAATTGATAAAAAAAATCTTTTATAGATTTTTATACAAAATTATATATGGGCCAGAAGGTTCAGAGTTTGGATATAGATAAATATCTACAAGATGCTCATTTTCCTAGACTAACAAATGATCAAAGAGAAGAGATTAATGGGCTAATCACTTCACAGGAAATTGTTAAGGCAATTAAACAATTAAAAGTAGGTAAAGCACCTGGCACGGATGGATTGACATCAATTTATTATAAAACTTTACATGAGGAGATGATTGAGCCTTTAAAGGAACTTTTTAATAGTATCTTATTAGGCTTGGAGGTACCTCCATCTTGAAGAAGGGCTTTTATATCTTTGATTCCAAAAGAGGATCAAGATCTTACTCTACCTAAGAATTATAGACCTATATCTATTTTGAATACAGATTATAAAATTTTTTCGAAGATCTTGGTGAATAGATTCATGGTTGTACTGAGTCAAATTATACACACAGACCAGACTGGTTTTATAACTGGGAGGTATATGAAGAATAATGTTAGACAAATTATTAACTTAATTGAATATTTGGACAAAAACAACCAGATCTCTGCGGGTTTGATCTCTTTAGATGCGGAAAAAG